ATATGTATCCTGCTGCTTTCTAGTGAACTCTCTCCTTCTTCATTCTAAACTTTCACTTCCTACTCCTAAAACTTGATAAGTTTCGTAACAACCGGAGTCGCACGGTTGGATTTCGCTGCAATAAGGGAATGTACCCCTCAGAGTACATGGCTAGTTAGGTCAATTCGAATTCCCCTGTACTCTAATTTATATTCCTATACTACATGTTTTACATAATCTCAAGCATTTATATTCACTCTGCTATTGAGGTCAAGGGCCCACCACCACTAAAAACAGTAGAGTGCGAACCTTCCTGAGGACGTTCAATTTTTTATCGCAGCAATGTGTGGTAACGGTAATGTGTGGAATTGGGGTGTGCGACGAGGCTGGCGCCGAGGTTGGGAATTGTAGAGGCGAAGATCCGGAGCGCGAGTTACCAAACGAGCCGTGAGGTTGGGTCCCGGCGTGAACAGTGGTGGAACAATAGTCGAGGCGAGTGGTGACGGTGTATTGTTGGGTGCTGTTGGCGGGAACAGTTGTAAGGATTTACAAATCCTTACAGAGGCAGTCGTTAGCGAGGCTAACCCGAGAGTCACGAGACGAACTTATCTTGCCTATTTCGTTGCACCGAACCACTCCCGAGTCGGTCTCCGCTCCAATCGCAACCATCACCGAGCCATCATCGCCCTACCTCTCCGCCTAGCTAGCATTTTCCCAATTTAGGCCTCGTCACTTTCAATGCATTCTCAGTTTCTTAGAGTTCATTCTTGTTATTCGATATTCTGCGCACTCTGAAGTTCATTCATAACACCTAATATCAGAGCTACTTTCCTAGCTCACCCCGCTTATTAGAGTGTAATACCCCTCACGGGGGGGACGAGGGAGGATGTCCTGGGGTCCAGGAGTTGCCTAGGCCGGCCAAGAGAATGGGTTAGTTGTGAGAAGAAACGAGAATGAATGAACTATGAATGAAGTGGGTACAAGTACTAACCCTAATTGGGTTGTACCCTCTATGGGATACACCACTACAGCCTACACAAAAGCATAAGCTATAATGTTCTGACACACCCCCATAGGCAAAGTGGGGGAGAACAGGGGGTCACAAGACCAGTCAAGCAAAGCAAAGCAAAGCTCAGTGTGGATCACAAAGTCACCACACATTCCGAGCACAAGTTCAAGGCCACAAGGCCAGTTCACATGCAGGAGTACATATATATATATGGCTAGACAAGCAAGAGCAGTTATATATATAAGTATATGTAACAGTTCAAGTAAGGTCAAGAGGTGAGCAAGTGAGGCAAGACAGGGACAAGACCAACTGAGTGCAGAAGCGCTGATGATCACAAGGCGGAAGTGCCTTGGTGAAAACATCAGCAGTGTTGGCCTCAGAGGCCACGTACACAAGCCGCAACTGTCCGCACTGCTGTAGCTCATGAGCAAGGAAGTAGCGGAGAGCAATGTGCTTTGTTCTGTGCTCCAGTCGCTGCTCTCAACACAAGGCCAGCATGGCCTTGTTGTCTACGTACAGAACTGGAGCAGAACGAGGCGGCTCTCCGAGGTCAGTCAGCAGGTAGGTGAGCCAGCGAAGCTCCTATGCAGCCATGGCCCCAGCGTAGATCTCAGCCTCACAACTGGAGCCAAGAGTAGAAGACGAGCAAGTAGCCCGTCACGGGACAGAGCCGGAACCAAGGCTGAAGGTGTAACCCTGAGACGACCGCTGCGTAGCCTGGTCGTCAGCCCAAGAAGCGTCTGCGTACCCAATGAGGACCACTGGACTGCGCCCTCTAAGCACTAGCCCCATGCCCGACGTACTGCACAAGTAGCGCAACACCCTCTTCGCTGCAGCCATGTGCTCTGGTCGGTGTCTCCCAGGAGCAACATAGCGTGCGAGAATGCTAAGAGGGTATGCAAGGTCAGGTCGTGTGCAGGTCATCAGGTACATGAGGCAGCCAACAAGCTCGGGATACGTGCCACTCGACTCTACGGACTCATCCAAAGGCAGAGCTGAGAGCGAGTGGCGAGTAGGCAAAGGAGTGGCCTGAGGCGAGGAGTACGTGAAGCCGAAGCACTGAAGGACCTGCTGCACCATGTGTGACTGAGTCAGGGTAATGGTGCGGCGTGCTCTGTCCCGGGTGATCTGCAAGCCAAGGTAGCTGCGCAGTTCACCCAAGTCTGTGCAAGTGTGTCTCTTTTGCAGCCCAAACTTCGCGTAGGCGAGTCCAGCAATGTCAGCAGTGGCAAAGACCAAGTCGTCGACGTACACAAGGATGTAGAACGGCGGCAGAGAGGTGTCGGTGCGCAGAAACAGCGACGGGTCGGCAGTAGAAGGAGCAAACCCAAGAGCCGCAAGCGTAGTCCTCAGTGTGTCGTGCCACTCACGTGGCGCCTGGCGGAGACCGTAGACTGGACGTTGGAGACTCCATTGGGTACCAGGAGGGAACGACCCAGTGAAGCCAGGTGGGCGGCGCAGCCAGATCTCCTGGTGCAGGCTGCCCTGCAAGAAAGCTGTGCTGAAGTCGAGAGAGTGCAGCTCGTAGTCACGGTGAGCAGCAACGTGCAGCAGTACCCGAAGAGTGGTCATCTTTGGGGTGGGAGAGAAGGTCTCAAAGTAGTCAACTCCCTGCCGCTGTCTGAAGCCACGAGCCACGTAACGTGCCTTGAAGACAGGCGGAGAACCCGGCAGCCGCTTCACCCTGAAAATCCACATGCCACTGACAATGTTCGCCCGAGGCGGGGAAACCTCGTCAACGTAGGTGCCTGTGGATTTCCAGGAAGCCATCTGTGTGTCCATAGCTGCCTGCCATTGAGAGGAGTAGGGACCCTCTATCGCCTCCGCGTAAGAGCGCGGAGTCGGGATGTCAAGTGCATTCGGGTCTCCCTCAGGGGTAAGCAGTACGGACACGAGATGAGGTGAAGCAGCAGCCAGACACTAGAACTCCTCCTGCCTGTCCTCAAGGACGTCCGTGCCAAGGGCACACTCATCCCCGACAGACGGAGGACAGACAGACTCAGACTCAGCGACAAGACTAGCAGCGTAGTCTAGGCGACAGCGAGCAGCAAAGTCGACGAGCTCAGCAACTAGGGCAGACGCAGTAGTGGACTCAAAGGAAGGGTCAGTGACGACAGTAGCAAGGAGACGCGTGACAGTAGGACTCGCAGCACGAAGAGAGTCTGACTCCGGGTCGGAAAGAGCAGGAAGAGAGGGCTCAGGAGGAGAAGGCAAAGGGGCACGCAGAGGAGCAGTGGACGGACGTAGAGACATCTTGTGCGTGCCAGGGACAGGAGGAGGACGCTGACGCGAACCACGACCACTAGTGCGAGCAGCACTGATAGGTGACGCACGGCGAGACGCAGGCTCACGATGCTCAGCAAGACCTCCAGTGGGACCAGTGTAGGGAAAAGGAGCAGGTAGGGGGGAGACGGGCTGTAACTGTGACCACGATTGGACAGGCTGTGGACACTCTAAGGGAGGAGGAGGACCAGTAGAAGGCGGAAGACCAAGAACCTGCTGCAGGAGGGGAACGAAGTACGGTCGAGGCCGCGCGGCTACTCCTGACACAGCAGGGACAGCACCAGTACCCTTAGCAGAAGCACCAGCGCCAGTAGCACCTCAAGCTCTAGGACCTCCACCAGAACCAGTAGTACCCCCAGCAGGACTACCAGCAGTAGCCTCAGCGCCAACACCCTCAGTAGCTCCAGCTCCAGTCGTACCCGCAGGCCTAGCAGCTCAAGTACTCCCAGTACGAGCACCTCTGGGACCCGCGACACCAGCACCCTAAACCCTGAACCTCCAGCTCCAGTAGTACGGCTCCAGCGCCGGGAAAACCACTCGCGCAGCTCCTGTGGAGAGAGTGGCTCGTGCCAAGACGAAGCACCCGGAGAACCTCCAGGTGTAGTACCTCCAAGCTCAGCACCTCCAGATTCAGCAACCCCTGGTGTAGCACCCCCAGGCACAGCACCCCCAAGCTCAGCACCCCCAGGCTCAGCACCCCCAGGCTCAGTACCCCCAATCTCAGCACCCCCAGGCTCAGCACCCCCAGGCTCAGCACCCCCAGTCTCAGCACCCCTAGGCTCAGTACCCCCAGGCTCAGCACCCTCAGGAGTAGCACCCACATGCTCAGCACCCCCAGGCTCAGCACCCACAGCAGCACCCGAGTGACCAGTAACCTCGACAGGCTCGACTGCGTCTACCTGGGACACACCTGAAGGGGCAGGACCCTGAGGGGGGAGGGGTTCTACCGGGGGGGGACCTGGTATAAGGAAGAGCGGGGGCGGGGGGAGGGACGGAGTGCGGTAGGGGAAGAGGCGGGAGTAGGGGACCGACTCGTCAAACGTGATGTCCTGGAAGGACAGAACATGGCGAGAGGTGGGGTGGTAGAACTGCCACCCTGGCGCGTCAAGGGGGAAACCCAGGAAGACGCACGGAGCAACACGAGGGGACAGCTTGTCCGAAGACAAGTCGCGGACAAGCGCCCGAGATCCCCAGACACGGAACGCCAACGCATCGCCAACCTTCCCCGTTCACAGCAAGGCTGGGGAGGTCTCCGTCCTAGAGACCCTGGGGTGAAGGTTGATCTGATGCGCCGCGTACCTCACCGCAAACGGCCATAGAAAATGGGGGCCAGCCGCATGCATCATAGACGTACGAGCGACGTCCATGACCATGCCAATGCGGCGCTCAGCGATCCCATTTTGCTGCGGAGAGTCCGGAAGCGTGAAGGTCTGACAAATGCCTCGTGCGCGACAATAGGCTCTCAGAAGGCCAGAGGAAAACTCTCCGCCTCTGTCCGAGTGCAGACGCAGAACAGGAAAGTCCGAGCCAAAGCTCTGCCTGAGCTGGAGACGAGCTGCGCGGATCCAGTCGATCAGCACCTCTGTGACATCACCCTTGCTGCGCAAGGGGAAGACCGCGGTGTAACGCGAGTAGTCGTCAACAATGAGCAGGAAGCAGCGCTCGTGACCCTGTCCACGAACGCGGGCTGGGCCCCACACGTCCATGTGAAGCGTCTGCAGCGGGGCCTCTATCGGAGGAAACTGGGAGGAGTGAGGGGCAGCCCGCTGGCGCCCCTCGACACAGGGGACACAGGTAGGGCCAGGCCCCGAAGGAAGGGAAGGGAGGGACCGGGGGAGACCAGACACAAGAAGACGGGAGGCCATGCCTCTGAGACGAAGCAGAGAGGGGTGACCAAGGCGGTGGTGCCAGAGGAGAGTCTCGTGAGACAGGAGACGACACGAACAGGGGGCAAACTCAGGACCAGACCTGGACGCTGCAGCAAACACCTGACCCGACGCAGCTACCCTACCCGACTCAGCAACTGGAGGAGACGCAGTGGTCAGTGTGTACAGGCTCTACCCCGGCTGACGTGTATACGTAGCCAAGTGTCGGCCGAACACGGGAGGACTATGGAGAAGTGAGACAGGACAGGACCCCCAGAGGGGTCAGCCAGAGACACCGCAACTGGCCGACTAAGCGGCGTGAGTGTGGTGCGGTCCCAAAAGAAGGAGCGAGAAGCCCCAGAGTCAAGAGTGAAGGTGAGGGAGGCCGAAGCCGACGCAGTACCTGAGAGCGCAGACTCATTAGCACCTAGAGCAGCAGCCCTGCAAGCACCTAGGGCAGCAGCCTCACCAATACCTAGAGCAGCAGGCTCAATGCCCGGATCGGGCGGGAAACACCGGTAACAGTCACCCTTATCACTAATAGTCACAGCATACATGGCAGAAAGAATAGCATCAAAATCAAGATCATAGATGGCAACTCCCGCCCTAGACAGCTCGCCCCAGCGAGGGATCTCTGTGGCCTCAGGGAACTGGTGACGCCACGCGTCCGTCAGGCGGCCAAAGCAGCGCTGGGTGGGGTGCGCACCCCCACACTGCTCACCCGCACGGTCGCCGGTGCGCAGGACGTAGGTGCACGGACCAAAACCCCCACCCCGCTGGCGTGCAGTGTACCATTCACGGAGCTGCTGAGGGGACAGGGTCTCACGACCGCGCTGCTGCTGCTGGCACGGACCACCACCGGAACCACTCCTTTGCGTAGACCCGTGACCAGCTCCACCGCCACCTCCGCCGCCTCCGCCGCCTTCGCCGCCTCCGCCACCACCGCAGCCTCCGCTACCACCGCCGCCTCCGCTCCTTCCGCCACCGCCGCCGCCTCCGCCTCCACTGCTGCCACCGGTACCCCCACCCCCTCCACCAGTCCCCCCACCACCCCCACTCCCTCCGCCGCCTCCACCGCCGCCTCCACCGCCCCCGCCAGCTCCTCCAGCGCCCTTGCCCCCCTTGCCCTTGCCTGTGCGGCGCTTCCCCAAAGGGGCAGACGCAGCACCGACCGTCTCAAAAACCTTAAGGTCGGCTGCAGCAGCAGAAGCAACAGAGGGCAAGAGGGGGGAGGGAGAACACCCCTCAAAGACAGGGGTGCGGGGGTCACCACGAGAGGCTCCTACAGCAACTATGCCCTTCCCCGCCGCTAGGAGGGCCTTCTTGAGGAGGTCAACGGTGAGAGTGGTGGGGCACACTACAAGGAAGTGGTCCCTGACAACGCGAAGGGAGTCTGGGAGTCGGGTGACTATGTAGTAGAGGGTGATGTACATGGGGTGGGGGGTTCTTGGCGCAGAAGTCAGCAAGATGCGCAGCGCGGTAGCAAGTGTCACTAGTGCGGAGGTGCGTAATGAGGTCAGCGACTGTGGGAAAGGCAGCAAGGTCAAGGAAGAGGTACGGTAGCATGAGACGGCTCAGTGCAGGAGTGGCAGGGGAGGAGTAGCTTGCAACTACAGCGTCGTACAAGGTCTGAGCACTCTTGTACTGACTAAAGTGCGCACGCTCGGAGGTAGGGAGGTGGCGACGCACAGCAAGACGTGCAGCAGCGTCGCGCGTGGCCCACTGGGAGCGAACAGTGGCGTCAACATCAGTAGCAGGGGCAAGAGAGGCGCCAGAGGTGAGGTCAAAGAGAGAGAGAGAGAGACCGTGTGCCCTATCGCACTGTAAGAACAGCTGCAGGTCATCTACCGAGACGTCAAAGTCAATGGCTCGACCCTCAGCATCAAAAGCGAGGACATTAGGGGTACCCATGACCACAGTAGACTAGCAGCGCAAACAGTAGGGTGAGGGCAGTGCAGTGAAAGAGGCGCTGTGCTGATTAGACAGGGCAGCTCGGGCGGCTCGGCGGTAGGGCGGCTCGGCGGCTCGGCTACTGGGCGGCTGGGCGGCTCGGCTGTAGTGCGGCTCGGCGGCCCGGCGGCTCGGCTGTACGGCGGCTCGGCTGCTGGGCGGCTCGGCTGCAGGGCGGCTCGGCTGCTCGGCTGTCCGGCTGCTCGGTTTCCCGGGTGGCTCGGTGGTGCTGCTACAGGGCGGCGCGGCGGTCGGTTGCTTGGCTGGGTGAGGCGGCTCTGGCAGCTCGGGTGGCGGGCGGCGCTGCAGCAGGCGACGGGGCCGCAGGTAAGGACGGCGGGGCTGTAGGTGAGAGCGGCGGGGCCGCCGGTGAGAGCGGCGGGGCCGCAGGTGAGAGCGGCGGGGCCGCATGGAAGGCGACGGGGCCGCAGTTGAGGGCGGCGGGGCCGCAGGTAAGGGTGGCGGGGCCGCAGGTAAGGGCGGCGAGGCCACTAGTAAGGGCGGCGGGGCCGTTAGGAGACGGCGGCAGGGCCGCAGGGAAGGGAGACGGGCCGCAGGAAGGGCGGCGGGCCGCAGGTGAGGACGGCTGGGCTGTTTAAAGGGACAACGGGGCCGCTGAGAAGGGCGGCGACGGGCCGCTGCAAGGGCGGCGACGGGGCCGCTGGTGAAAGGCGGGGGGATCGGGGCCGCAAGGGCGGCTGATCGGGGCCACGAGAGGCCGCTAGGGCGGCGCGATGCGGCCATTAGGGCGACGCGACGCGACCGTAGGGCAGCGCGACGGGGCCGCGAAGGGGCCCAAGGGGCCGCAAGGGTCGACGCGACAGGCCGTGAGGAGGCCGCTAAGGGCGACGCGACAGTAAGGTGAGCACACAGGGTGCGACTCGGGCTTAAGAGGAGCGCGCTCAGGGTAGAAAAAAAATCGTAGTGGTGGGCCCTAGGAATCATTCCTGTTAGGGAACCTGCTCGATACCATGAGAATAAACGAGAATGAATGAACTATGAATGAAGTGGGTACAAGTACTAACCCTAATTGGGCTGTACCCCCTATGGGATACCCCACTACAACCTACACAAAAACATAAGCTATAATGTTCTGACAAGTTGCTCTTCGCGGCCATGGATTTAACGTGCACTCCTCGGCACCGCCATATCCTTGCCTTTGACGGTCGCGATCGACCGTGACCTCCCTCCCCACGGGCAACGGACAGTTGTAGCTGTCGCGACATTAAAGTGAGTAATTTCTGCTGCGATTTCCGGCAATTTTGGAGGTTGATTCGTGTGGCAGCTGGCGTCAGCGGACCTGCATCGGCATCTGCATGAAAAGCATCGACGTCATGACTGTGTGTGACTGTTGACGCCGGCGGACCTGAGTCAACAGCTGCGCGACGATTTTGGGATCGTCCTTACGCGACAAGTTGACGTCGGTGGCATAGGTCAACATGTGCGCGAGATTTTTGAGAAATCGTTCAGCAGCCGGCGACAAGGGACGTGCGTTAGCATGGGCGACAACTTCGGAGCTTCTGTTGAAGAAACAGTCGACTGGGGAACTCGCCAGGCGCAAATGGAGTTTTATGTCCAAAAGTATCGGTGGACGAGGAGAGACGACACGCGAATTGCCCAAATTATGCGGGGTCAACTGTCGTCCCGCCCGACCTGAAGTGCAGTGGCTTTTACTCCATGGTGGGCGCGTCATCGAAGATTTTCGGCAGGAGCGCAAGTGGACAGATAGGAACTTCAGACCTGCCGACACTTACGGGTTGCAACAAAAAACGGAGTGGCTAAATCGCACTCAAGAGGAGTGGGACGCAGTCGGCGAGGGCAATTCGAGCCCATACATCTAAAGAACACTTGGATGACGCTGCGTGCCTGGTACTGTTGACTGCTGGCCGGCAATTTCGAGAGTGGATTCTCTGTAAGTCATTTTCGGGGACCGCCTCAACAGCCCACGATTAAACAGCGTTCAACGTACTGCCCCGACATTTACAGAGGAGTTGGTACAGGCCGATGGGACACACGGGAAGAAACTGCTCGACGACTAAGCGGGGGTCGAAGAACGGCATGAAGGGCAGGCTAAAAGCCGGTGTGAATGATCTGTGACCTTCCGTTGCCCAAACCTCACCATCCCCACCAAGTCTTAGTTCTGACTCATGCAGTCAACTTGGCCAAATACGGGGGTGAACACGGACCTACACTGCACTGGTTAAAAGCACCTGGGTTGGTGCTCGTTCAACAGCTGTACAGAAAAAAACAAATAAAAGGGGAGTTGCGGCACTGTTCTACTCCGACAAAAGCGGGTTGGGTGAAACAGCACGCGAAAAAATCGGGGCGCCGCAAGGACAACACTGGTGCAGATTGCTGGTTTCTCCTGACCCGAGCGTCTACACGAGGTGACGGCGCAGCAGCGAAGCAGGGACCAGAAGCTGTGGAGTTTAGTGGCGCGACGGTTTTGGTGGGCTGCAAAACAGTTGGGTGGCAGTTCCTTTCAAATAAGGGTCCCCGACTTCGATAGTTTTTGCCCCTCCACCGTAGCTGGGTTCGCGCGGGCAACACCGACTATACCCCATCCGACAAAAGCGGACGCTGGGTGAACGGCGGGAAGCGGAAATGTCGGGGGGTGAAACGACCAAAAATTGAAGTTGCGGGTATTCCTTCGCTTCTTGGAGTGCGGTTGAGTTGTTGGGGGACTTCGCTTGAAGAGCACTTTTCGAAGTTGCCTGGCAAGAAATACAGCGGCAAGGAGACCTAGGACCCCCGGTGTTTAAATGCACACCTCGGGAAATTCTTCAGAAAAAAATTAGCGTGGGAGCAGTCGTAGCTTCGGGAACTTATCGACCGACAACGAGCGATGCGGTGAAACATATGCAAAGCGCTGGTGGAAGAAACGTGGGTATTGTTAAACAGCATCGGCGAAGCAATTTCGACAACGAGGTCAACGGCGTTGATGCCACTAGGTTCCGTGAAAATCGGTCTCGGAATAACCCAGGGCAGTCCCCGGTTCTCGATTGAACCCACATGCTGGGTTCGGGTACCGATGGAAACTGATGGTGACCGAGTGGGCGGCTATAACACGTCCAATATTTTCGTAGGGGAACTGCAACTGCAACTGCGGATTTACGGGGTTTGATTCAAGTGACTATTTCTGAGGTTTTATATGGGGACTTACCGGTTTTACGGCAAGGAGCGCTAACAATTTCGGAGGAGAATTCGGCGTTTGGTTAAACGCGTGCGACAACGAAGCTGGGCAACACCGTGGGAACTACACAGAGTTTCAAGGGGTACGAACGACTAACGACAAACTGAAAAAGGCGGCATCAACAGTGAAGGGGGGGAGAGACAGCTGTAATTTTTCATCCCTGCCAGTCATCGGCGAATTGCGACAAACTGCTCGGCGAGTCTGGACAAAGCCGCGGAAGGTGCTGACATCATCTGACACTCGATTGACGTTCGACATCATTTTCGAAGTGACATTCAAATTTGGTTACAATCGCGACGACCATCGCCGACTCTCGATAATCAACTCGCAAGTTCTCGCCTTCATCACCGACGTTTTCGCCACACCCCCGATTTCACGGCTTGAGGATTTCGGGATAAGACCGCTCCAACTCTATAAGCGACAAATCGCTCAACTCGATCCGCCCACAACAAACGATTTGATTTTCAGCCACGTCATGTGCTGCCAGCTGCAACTGCTGAAGATATCGGCTGATTCTGGCGATGTGAAGAGGAATATGTTCAGTTCGAGTAACATAGATTTTCTGCAGCGGTTTTCGGGCTACATATACTTGTTCACCTTTGAAGAATTCTGGGCACCTAACACCTGATTTTCGTCATCAAGTTTCCACACCGAAACGTTCACATGGACTTGTACGCTTGACGCTCTTCTTCGTGGGACTTAACACCTGTATTTTTGTTGGTTTTCATCTCGGCGCAGCTGTGGAACATTTTCTGGTGTGCTTTCTTCGAGGGGGGGAGAAAGTGCGCTGCATTGTTTTTTCATTGGTGTTTCTCTCGGTCCTTTCTGACTTTGTCAAGTTGCGTCAGCACGACGGACGTGTTAACAGGAATGGAGTGTTGGCCCCCCCCTCGCTTGGGCAACGCCGACAACTTGGTCGGATGCACGGGAGTAGCAACCGACCGTTCACAGTGGGAGAGCTGCTCGACAGGCTTCGTCGAGCTGCAGGGGACCGCTGTGGTGTTGCTGTCGACTAGGGAGCTCGACAGCTGCAACTGACTGGTCTGGGCAACGGGTGGGACGTCGACCAGGACCTGCAGTTCGACCGGGAGGTCGACGGAGCAGTCCGTCGACCTGACAAGTGAGCAGCGGTCGACGAGGGGAGCTCGGCGACAACCGCTGATGGTTCTGGTCGACGGAAGGGGTCCGTCGACCAGGGGGTAGCTCGACGGGAGTTGTGGTCGATCAGAGGGACTTGGTGGTCGACCGGAAGCACCTGGTGGTCGACCGGGTCGACTGGGTAACCTGCTCGACGAGTTCTGCAGAGGCACGCAAACGTCGTCGAGGTTGCGATGGCACAGGCGACTGCAGGCTGGTATCCCGGAGTCGATGTAGCTCGTCAGGCGCAAACAAAAGCCGACGAATGCCCAACGAGGCAAGTCGGGCCAATCGTCTGCGCACACGTGCGAGCGTGCACACTGCTGTGTTCTACGGGGCAACGCTGGACAGCCGCTCTGCTGCAGCGTTGGCACGCCGTCGACCTGCTCCGTTGGCAGGTCACCTTTCTGCAGTGCTGGCGCGGCTCCTCTACGCAACTCTGGCAGGCGATCGATTGAGCTGTGCTGGCGGTCAAGCAGGCTAGCAGCATGGTTGCTAGGTGTCTGATGTAGTCATTCTTGTCATTGCTTGTTGAATCATTTATGGAACTCTACAACGGTAGTGAGCTAGACTACAGGGGTTGGCAGGAACTACTAGAGGTGATCGTAGCTTTGCTTGGTTCCTTAGTGTT